GTGACACACAACGCGAGTTATGCTCGATTTTTTGCCGATTTTTGACACACCACTCCAAAAAGGTTGCCCATCACTGTACTAGAGACTCTCGGATAACAATAGCCACACCCCCACCCCTTCACTGGGATCGCGGCTGATGAAGCACCTGAAAACCCTCTGGGCACATCTCTACGAGGGGGACTCCTCCCTCCGGGCCCAGCCAGGTTTCAGTAATACATGCCAGGTCTGCCCTCTCGTCTAATATTATCATATTATTACTAATAATATGATATTTCAAATACATCATAACAATTAGAACATTTAATCAGTGGAAAGATTTGCCTCCAGAAGTTGTGGAAGCTCCAACATTGGAGGTTTTAAGAAGAGATTTGTCTGAAATGGTTTAGGATTTCCTGCTTGAGCAGGGGGTTGGACTACAAGACCTCCATGGTCCCTTCCAACTCTGTTATTCTGTTATAATTCATAAATGCAATATATTTCTCCAGAAAATAACTCACAGATGTCCACCCTTCAATAGCTGTGAAGGATGCTCCAGAAAAAAACCTTCCTTCAGATGTCTATGGAGATTCTCAGTCATCCAGGTCATTGTTGTGCCAAAGGTGCTTTTTCAAGAGGCAACTAGACTTACAGAAAGTCCAGTTGCCTCTTGAAGCAGCACCTTTGGGACCTTCCTTCAGATGTTTGGTCACAAGTGATTCATACTCACTTAGACTTAGAGAAAAGGCTTTCTATGACCTGTATGCAATTTGGTAGCAACTCTTGGTAAAATAATGTTTGTCATTAAATGTTCTGGTCTTATACAATAGAATAGTATAGAATTCTTTATTGGCCAAGTGTAATTGGACACACAAGGAATTTGTTCATAAGCTCTCAATGTTCATATGAATAACAAAGTGATAAGTCATAGGACATAAACCATAAGATACACTCATAAATAATAAGATACAAACAACAATTGATAAATCATAATAGTTCAGTGATCTACCAGTAGATCCCAATTTGGGTCTGCTCATCCTTAACAGGTTGCAATATTTACACAAAACAACTCTGCTTTTACAGCATATTGCAGATGTCCTGCCAAACAGCTATTGACTCACCAATAGTTGATTGTGTTCCCAGGAACCACAGTGACATATAAAAGAGCAAATGCTCCAAGAAATCACCTACATTTTCATTTTCAATACACCGAAGGCATGAAGGTTCTTTTTGTAACTCTGGTTTATATTCCATTCATGACTGCTCTGATAAGGTAAGAAAGAATTTCAGAGCATTTTTATTTGTGTGTTTATGCAGCAATATGAAAACAAATTATTAGTTTACTTCAAAGCTTCTTTAGAAAACTTTATAATGTTTAAATAATGTCCAAAACTATTAGAGAATGATGCTACTATAATTTTCATTTGTGGCAAAACCAAATCAAATCACTTAAGAAGTGAATCCACTTCTTAAGATGCTCTTTTTACAAGGCCAGAGTATTTAAGCACTAAGCCTAATTTATCTGCTATGGAAGTAGATGATACATATAGATATCTCCTGCTGAGTCTCTTAGATGTTATATTAGACATATAACAAATATTTATTACAAAAACAAATATTAGGAAAAAACAAAGAAAAGAGAAAAGGAAAAGAAATAGTAGGACAAAGAAGCAGAATCTGTTGTGGGTGGTGGTGGTGGTGGTTATAAATGCATTTATATTGTACCCATTCTTTCTAAAGTTTCATCATCATTTCCTCCTTCCCCAAGCTATCCTGCTTTTTCACTTTCTCTGCTAAAGTTTTGGGCTGGAGGAGAGTCCATTTGGACCTAGATCGATTGCATGTCACAGGGAGTTTTCTTTTTATATGTCTCTGGCCACTTTTTCCAATGGCAAGATCTAAATGGTTCGTGTCCAGTGAGTATGTCCAATTGAACCAAAAAGATAAAGCCTACCCATAGCATACTTTGATAATACTGTAGTATCAGTTCACTGAGCCTCAAAACAGGAAAAACAATGCAAATAATGACATTTGGTAAATGGCAGTGTCAACATTCAAATCTATATTTATATTGTTCAATCAGGATTCCGCTAGTTCAGTTTAATTCTATCCAAACTGTACTTCGAAAAGGAGGACAACTAGAGCAATTTTGGAGGAATAATTTACCTGAAAGTTTTGCTCAGAAGTACCATCCTTGCTTTCCATCTGATATTCTTTTGTCCCTGAGAACTGCAAAGGAAAAACTTCATAATTACATGAATGTGAGTATGTTTGTAGAAAACAGAATGAAAAGAATAGTCTGGGACAACTCTGGATCAACCAAAATAAGCAAAATAAGCATAGAGCTAGGGCACCAGGGGGAAGGGAGGCCCACAGAGTTTTCCCCTTTAGCTGTTGTGCTCTGAAATCAACTTTAGTCCATTTTCTGCAACTGTCATTATCTATCAGGCTCCACTTTCATCAGCATTGTATAATAATAACTTTTTTGGGGCATGCTGAAAGACTAAAGTTTAAAAGTTTAGCTTGAAAGTGTCATCAGCTATTACATTTGCTTCCATCCCATGGAGTGAGAGTTTTCCTTCTATTGTTGGGCTGTATTGAGAGGAATGGAAACTTCTCCTGGAGCAACCCTTAATTGGCCTTGTTAATGAGACCTTTTGCCTAGACCAACATATAATGCAAAATGGGATTTACTAATTGAAGCAATAAAAATACCAATCAGATACTTACAACATGTAAACTCACTAATATTGTTGGCACATACAAACATTTTGTAATCTAGCAGATGCCAGTGATGGTTAATTCCTAAAAATAGATTATGAGCTCTGGGTTGATATGGAGAGTGGACTGATACGGAGCGGATTCCCGATAAACCTCTGAAAGCAACAGTGACTGATTGTCTCTTGACATCTCAGATTCAATGGCTCATTTTTTAAAAATCAACTTCAGAGTTATTTTCAACCTTCACAAAAAAATAAAATTGCTGGCAGAGTTCATGCAGAACTTTGGAATGATATATCACTGGTATGCTGATGACACCCATGGGCTGATGAAACCAAATGATCTAAACATTTGCTTTTTGACCCTTCCCCAATAGCTTTGGGTTCCTGTGTGACAGTGACCGCAGAGAGTGTATTTGCACTGTGCCTTATCTAATCATTCCTGAGTTGCTAGACTTGGCCAAAGTTTCCAGAAAGTAAGTGCCAAGCACTGCAGATTTTTAATATGGAATCGTTTTAGTTCCAATATTTTGCACTTATTTGCTGCCTGGATATTTTACACCAATTGCAGCTTTAGACACTTCTCATGTTGTGCAATCCTTGAGAAGTGTCTAAAGCTGCAATTGATGTAAAATATCCAGGCAGCAAATAAGTGCAAAATATTGGGGTCATTTCTGAGGTCCAGCCCCAATCAGATTGGGTGCATGGGTGATGTTTTTTTTTTAATTGTTCTCTTTTATTTTTTTACTAATTATTATTCTTGTTCTGTAAGCCGCCCGGAGTCCTCCGGGATTGGGCGGCCTATAAATCTATTAAATAAAATAAAATAAATAAATAAATAAATAAATTGGAACTAAAACAATTTCATATTAAAAATCTGCAGTGCTTGGCACTTACTTCCTGGCTACCATTTAAAGTAGTAGTTTTAACATTTAAAGCCCTAGACGGTAAACCTATGTCATGCATGCCAGAGGTGTCACATAGAGCCCTCTCTGTGGGCACATGCGCCATCTCCAGCTGCTCTTCTGGTTTCCAGCATGCGCATGTGCACCACCCAGCTGGTCTTCACAGGTGCCGAAGCTCTGGAAAACAGCCCGAAAACAGCCTGAAAAACACATAAAAGTCTGTTTTTCAGGCTGTTTTCTGGATGGTTTTTGGCCTGAAAACAGCAGACAAATGGCCTGAAAATGGCCAAAAAACAGGCATGTGCGCACCAGCCAGCTGGTCTTCGGGTTTCCAGTGCTCCAACATGCATGCACATGCATGCACATTCCAGTTTGGGCACTCATTACCAAAAAGGTTCGCCATTACTGCCCTAGACCAAAAAAAGCCCAACCCCTGATTACCTGTGACCTAACCTGTTATATCAGGTTTAATACTTAACCAGGACAAGAGGTTGTCTTCTGATGTCCTTACTCTCTGAGATCTTGTTATGCATATGGGGAAGACCCTTCCCTACACAACATCCATGCTGCATCTAGGAATTTAACCCAGTCTTCACTTTTTCCAGTTTTAGAATAGTAGTTAGACCTTCCTAGGAGACCTTTCTGTTCAATTTTAATTAGTTTATAATAACTTTTTAAACATCTTAAATGATTATGCTTTATTGAGTGCCATATGGACATAATGGCAAAATACTGTATAATTGGGATTTTTTTTAAAAAAAAATGCTTAATACATGATTTGTGTAGAAATAGATATGCACCTCACAAAGAACATGATGAAGTTGTATTACCCTGACTTAATAAGTAAAACAACAACCAATAGTGGAGTTGATTTTATTGATTTGGATTCATACCCCACACAGTATTTCCCACCCTGCCCACAGTATTTCGGTATGCAATATGCAGTACTTCTGTATTGCTCAAAATGCCTTTCCTGAGCCTTGTGTGAGCTGCCATACATTGATCTTTCTTTTACTATTTCTCCTTTCTACAGCACCTTTTCTTCCCATATAACCTCTTGGATAGTCTCAAGCATCCTCCTCAGACGTATAAGAAAAGCTTTCATGAACCAAAATTAACTATGGAGAAATAAAAATGGGCAAATCCTATTTTGTGAGCCAAGATTTTGGGTTCAAATTATGTTATAGTTTATATTTATAATACAAATTAAAAACAGGTGAACAAATAAATAATAAAAATATAATAATACAAATCCAAATGTGCCCTGATTTCCTAAAAAAAAATTGATGTTGAAGGATTCCCATTAATGGAAGGGTTTTTGTTAGTTCCTCCTATGCTTCCTGGATGTTTTTTTTTCTTAAGGGTTGAGAAGCAAATAGAATTAAATATGGAAATGAAAGGATTAGCAAAAATCCACTCCCTGAAGTTATTATAACATTGTCTGTGCTATTCGTATGCTTGATTTCAGGGTTATGGGTTATATTAAGTGTTTTTATCAGACTCACAGAGTCCACTAATCACAGCTAGAAGCCAGTTAGAGACAGAGGGCACAATGGAGCCAATGACTTTTTAAAACCCCAAACTTGTTCCCCATGTTTAGAAAATAATAATTCTAAAGAAGAAGCTGGAATGATAGCTATCAGAGTTTCAACCCCACCCCCCAAATTCTCCAGATCATTAACAGGGTCTGCCTAAGACTTTGGACAAGAACAAGTCATTTTCATGTTTTAGAGATGAGCAGGCTAGCTATGAGCCCTTATACTGTCCTTTCTTACAAGATGTCTGGACTGAAGCCTTAGAACTGAAAATGATTTAGAGCAAGTTGGAATTGGTAGGTGACTAATTACTGAATGATGGATGTCTTTTTTCTCCTAGGCCCAATACTATGGAGAAGTGAGCATTGGCACTCCCCCGCAGAAATTCTCTGTGATATTGGACACTGGATCTGCTGATTTTTGGATACCATCAATATATTGCATGAGTGATGCTTGTTGTAAGAAATATTTATATCATTCAAGAACTTAAATAAAATCAACAAAGAAAAGTTCAAATTTTGTCATACAAGAAATTAGGGGAAAAGAATTGTTAATTCATGACTTCATCTAATGCAAAGTTCTCTCATAGATATGGAACCCCTTTGAGATTTCTTCTCTGCTGATATTTCCGATTTATCTCAGCTAGATGATACAACTCTTCAAAAATTGTGTCATTTTGGAGTGGTCTCGTTTTTTTATGAACATTATTTTGATTTTTCTTTTTTATTGATTTTTCCATTTTTCTGTCATTTCTTTTAGAATTTGTGGTTTTATTATTCATATTTTTCTTTAAACTGTTTTAATGAGGAGGAAAGTCTGCACAGAACTAAAATAACTAGGAACAAAGAATAATAGAATGCTTAAGCTGAAAGAGATCTAACATACCCAATTCCTTCAGCCTAAATCATCAATAATTATGATAAATCTAAGCAAAGATGTTCATATCCACAACAGGTACTTTGAATCTGAAGCTAATTTTTGTTCAAGTGATTATTCTGCCCTAGTAGGGCAATTTCCTATAGCCATTCTTCATAAGCAGTCAAGAATTATTAGCTGTAGAGTTTTTCATTGATGCTTTCAGCAAAGAAACTAGATTTGAAGTGAGTCACAAACACTTTTCAATCTTTCTCTTAGTAGGAGAATTTCAGTATTCTTTGAATAGCTTAACATTTAGATCCAAATATCAGCTTTGCCGAGGCCACACCACAATATGTATCTCTCTGAACAAAGAAGACGACGATATTCTTTCCTAATATATAAGAAACTGAATAGACTTCATGGAACCTCCAGTTCTTCCAGTTCAATTTGTCCTTAGCCTCTGTCACATAAAGCAGCTGCCTCTGGAATGGGCCAACTCGCTGCACCCAACTCGCTACGGGACATTTATCAATTCAATTTAATTATTTAAAATAAGTATATATTTGTCATTCACATTTCATTTTGTTTCTCCATTTGCATCCTTTATTTAATGATTCTATTCCACCACTTCTTTGATATTAATGTAAATTTTGTACTGTAGCAAGTTGTCCTGAGGCGAGTTGGCTGTAGTGAGTTGGCCATGGTGAGTTGATAGGACAGTGATGAATTGTCATTGACCTGCTGCCTTATTTGCCAAATCAAAGAATTTCTCTGCTTTCTGCCAAATAATTTGACCCTGATACTTTAATCCCATGTTTTTCTTTTGCTGAAAAAAATATTTTTAATAGTTAATCCTACTTTCCAGAAGAAGTAACGGGTTAAGAGCAAATTTTATTTTTACAGTAAAACACAACAAATTTGAGTCATTTCTGTCACATTCCTACAAACATGGAGGGCGACAATTTTCTCTGCGATACGGTACTGGGCACCTCATGGGCATTTTTTCCAAAGATGTGGTCCAGGTGAGAGAACTGCTGTTATCTTCAAGAGTTTTATGTTTTCTGAGAATATGTACAGTATTAGAATTAAAAAATAAATTGCTGGAAATAGCAATAGCAATAGCAGTAGACTTATATACCGCTTCATAGGCCTTTCAGGCCTCTCTAAGCAGTTT